AACATTCTGCTCCTCCCTGATTAGAACCAACTTATCGCATATGGAAACACTACAAGATAGAGATATAATATCTCACCTTGTACTGGCTTTGATAACAAAGGTGGTGAAGCCAAGTATGTTTTAAGTGATTAAAAGCAACTCAATATTTGTTTGTTCACTGAAATCCAGTATTTTGAACCCCCTCAATTTCTTAAAGAATGGGAGATATCAGTCTCCTGATCTTGCCAAAAAATACAATAAAGCAACTTTCCTTTCGTTTAATCTTTGCACCCATTTTATACTTATGGGAGGAATTATCTCCTTAAGGGCATGGATTTTTTCAGGATTAACCTCGATTCTACGATGAGTAATTATGAATCCGAGAAAACTTTGATAAAGTGACTTTGAAGGCACATTTGGCTGGGTTGAGTGTGTTATATTTCTGAAGAAGATGAAAATTTTCTAAGTTGGGAATATGTTGAGAGGTTTCCAAATTCTTGACCAACATGTAATCGACATATACCTCCATGGCATGTCTTTGAAAATCTTATTTATGAGATGTCGGTAAGTTGCGATGGCATTCTTCAACCTGAATGGTATAACCCTATAGGAGTATAGGCCATTGTCTATCTAGAAGAATGTAGCTTCCTCACAATGAGATTCATCTTTACTTGGTTGTAGCAAGAATAAGCATTCATGAAGTTGAGCATTTGATGTCCAAAAATAGTGTCAACTAATTGATCTATTCAATGCAGCTTTTGGACAAATTTTGTTCATATTAGTATAGTTAATGCACATCATCCATGCTCTAAAAGCCTTATTTACCATAATGACATGAGTCACACGAGATGATGTGCTTCCCATATAAAACTTCCTTGGAGAAGCATGTCAAACTCTTGCTCAATCTTTTGATGGCATTCAAGTACAAAATTTTGCTTATTTTCACCAACTGGCTTGTAAGTGGGTCACTCTTTAGAGAGTGCATAATTACTTCAAGATCAATCTCGAGCATATTTGTCAGACTCCAGAAGAACACATCTTAATTTTTTTACGGAAAAAATCAATGTATTCCAACTTTTGCTCACTGGATAGCAAATATTCATGTTGCACGGTCTGTGAGTGTTCCTCTGACAAGGAGGCATAGATCAAGTCTTCAACTGGTGAAGTTGTTGGTATATATCTTCAACTCGCTGATCAAAACTCTTAATGTTGAAAGTCTCCGATGGGCATGGTTGGGTTTGTCTGAGATAGCACAGTCATGCTACATTTTTATCCCGCCATAAAATGCCAACTCAAAATGGTGTTGAAAACATCATTTGATATAAAAATTACTAACCTAAAGATTGATTGAAGAAGTCTTTCGAAGATAGCATTGTACGTCGATTCCAACTTGACGACAAGAAATTTGATCATGTGAGTCGGCTATTGGGGGAAAACTCCCAATGTAACGAGGAAACTAATTGTCCCCCCAATATTCACCAACTGATTAATAAAGTCATAGAGAGGTCTAACAGCAGGCTGTAGTTTCTCTCTGGTCAATCCCAGACTAAGGAAAGTTGAGTAGAGTAGAACGTCGATTGAACTACCTCTGTCGTCGATGATTCTCTTTATATTATAGCAAGGGTCCATCAACTCCAGAGCAAACAATAAGAGGATCTTGATGAGGGAGTTAGACCCTTCAAAATTAGATTCATCAAAGGTGATGGAATGGCTGACACAAAATTTCTTCAGTGAAGGCTCTTCATAGACAGCAATAAGAAATTGCTTGACCAACAACAATCCTCCTGTTATTTTGACCCTCAATTAATGAACTAAGGTAAAAGGGCAATTTTGTAATGTGGCACCGCCACCTACCACATCCGTAAACGATCTGTGTTTGCTTGTGTTCTTTTTCGTCTCATTTCTATGTCAGGAAGTACATATCTCACAACACCTCCGGCGATCGTTGAGATTTTGCCAATAGTCTGACAATTCTCCCGCTATTGTTTCTAGGCTTGCTAACCCCCCAGTAGAGACATTATTGTTGTTGATGATCTTGCTTTAAATGAATTGGTCCAAGTAACTTTATCAGATCAACGGTCGATCTCCTCTTTGAGTTAAAAGCATGATTCAGTACTATGGTCATGGCTTCGATGAAAGTGACAATATTGTTCCTGATTCCCTGCATTTGGCTTCAATAAAGGTAGCCACTTAAGAATTTCCTTATCCTGACTCGTCATCAAGATATTAACACTTGACGTGTATAATCTTTCTCAGATCGTGATTCGTGCCTCTGTGGTCAAGAGGACAAATTAGGGTTTCCCCGTGACTCAAACTTATTCCACTAAGATGCCTGAGCAGTGTATATGAAATTAGGGTTTACCCGTGGCTCAAATTATTTATTATGTGTATTAATAGTTTCGTCAGCATCAATTTATGCCTCAACAGAATGGATGAGAACAGCATAAGAACAGACTATCTCCTGCATTAAAGATAAGAGAAAAAACCAAGGTGTAGTCCCCCCAAAAATACACCTCACAGTAATTCCAAATCTACTCCTAAAATTTGATGAGTTTCAAAAGAGAATCTCAAGAAATAATCATTCAATTATTCTCCCTCACTTTGATGAATCCCGAAAAGGTTAGAGAAGTCTTTAATGATCCTTCGATTTGTCATGAAGTGTTTTGTAAACACTTTAGTGAGCTCATCAAAGGTATGAACGCTCCCTCCTAGAAGAGTAAATCCAAGTGCATGCTTGGCCTTTAAGAGTTGCAGGAAAAACTTGATAATAGAGCGTTTTAGAAGCTTGTTGTATATGCATTACAATTCTAAAGTAACTAACATGTTTTTATGGGTCAGAAGTCCCATCATAAGCATCAAACTTGATAATAGAGCGTTTTAGAAGCATGTTGTATATGCATTACAATTCTAAAGTAACTAACATGTCTTTATGGGTCAGAAGTCCCATCATAAGCATCAATACTTTAAAGCTTAAATCTTTTTGGAATAGAGTGTTGAATGACTGCCTCCGCTAATGGAAAAGATTCTTGAAAATCATGTTGAGCTGAAAAATGATTTTTAGCCCTCATGGAAAAATATTCTTGAATTAGACATCGTAACTCGTCACAGATTGCGTAAAGTTGAGCTATATTCTCCATGCACACTGAGAGCTTGTTGAAGGCTTGACTACAGAGGGTGGATGCGTAGAGCTAGCAGTGTCCAAGAGTTCAGCTTCCTGAGGAGGAACTCTAGTGTGTGGAGGGGATACCAGTTGTGTACCACTAACGAATGGAGTTTGAGGTAGGTGTGCCCCCGATAAGCATCATTGCCAATTGTCAAGCCTCATACAAAAATTTAAGGATCTCATTCTGAGACTCCTTCATTCTTTGCGCATGATCTTCAAGTGGTGCAAGGAAGGTTCCTTCACAAACAGGATGATGTGTATCATTGGGAAACGGACTGGAGGCTTAATGTCCCACACTTCAAGACTATCCTGAAATGACTTGTGTTTGAAAGTGAAGCTATCGTATTGCCTTTGTTGTCCATCGAAGAAGGGTAAACTTTTATTATCGAGACTTCTTTCACACAGACCGCGCCAAATTATTGTTATTGTAAGATTCACTTCGGTAGAGTGATAATTTAACATCTCAGTATTGTACGAAAATTTAGCACACACATAGAGATGGTTGAAAAGTAGCAGGAAAAAAAAATCAAATATTTTGCGTGAAAAAATATGGAAAGAAAAAAATCATGAGTCTAACCCACACAAAGTATTTACTATAAATGTGTAATTATAAAGATACACTCTTGTCCCGCAATTAAGAAGGTTTACAACCCTACATCAAGAACAATACTTGTTTATGCAAAATGTAGAAAACACTTCAAGAATCTGAAAAGCTCGATGTATCTGACTACGGCAATTGAAAGTATTTGTCGCTTAAATTATCGTCGAATCTTTAATACGACAATATTTGCTACTATGTATGCGGAATGCTTCATAATACTGTATTCAAGATATTTTATTGCACCATATTCAAGGATACTATATTATATAATAGAGTTCGTTGACGACAGCGAGCAGGAGCTGGTCGATCATGGTCGCCAATAGCCAGCGATGGGCGATCGATGGTGATCAACAACTACAGAGGACGGAAGTTATCACAGTCTTCAATCTATAACAACACTTGAATTTAAGTTCATCCCCTCCCAAAAGAAGAGAGGAGATCTACTTATAGCCTATAAGGAATGGGCATTTTGGTCCTTTGAAGAATAGCTCCTGTAACAGCATGATCGAACGGCCCGCAATAGAGTATTTTTCAATGAATTGAGGGTCTTAATAACTGAAGAATTAAGCAAATTTAGGATTATTGGATTCCTCTCTTGAGACGCTTGATTTGACTATAAATACATTAAATTTAGAGTGAGTTTGACCATCCAATTAACGATATGAAGCCTTCAATAGTGCTTTAATGGATTAATCTAAACTTAATTGAACTCGGATTGAATTAATTTAGTATTATCGGGTTCATCTTGTTAAGACAATTAGTTTGACTATAAACTTATTGGAATTGGAGCCTTGGATGACCTTGATTTTGAATTTTGAACGTTTATTACTCAAAAAATACATCAAGATTTGCACTACATGATAAAAATTTGTTGATGTCGCTTCAATGCTAAATAGAGGCTTTCTCTTCATTGTTCTACCCTTTAGATCACATGCCATCATCTAAGCAATCATAAACCTCTTGAATTATGCATCCCTTCCCTTTCTTGTAGAAGCCACTCAACAAATTTTCAATCCAAAGTTAGAGTTGTTGATATAAGCATCTCTATCAAGAGGGCAATGAACTGTATCTGCCAGGCATAAATTGAAAACTTCAAAACCATTAACAAGACGTTCCATCTCTTACAACTTCTTAAAAAATGTACATGTAAAGTAAGAATTTTCAACTAAATCAAAATTACTAGTGTCATATATGGAGGAAAAAAAATAAGAAAAAACATATAGGAAAAGCACAAGAAGAAGCAAATGAAGAAATTACTTGCATTGCAGGACTTCCTTCAATTGACAAACTACGCAGATGCCTAATCTTGGGAGCTTTAAATGACAGTGTATGAAGTGTAGCATTGCCATCTTTCGCCCTCAAATCTTTGAGGTTCTCCTGTTAAAATGACAAAGAAGAAACCATTGGATGATGCCTACAAAAAGTTTCTATAAACACCAACACTATGTAGGATCATTGATGAACTGCATTTTCTCAATCGAACACTTCTCATTTTCAAATTACACAGCCAGCTGTGCCTCTCATTCTCACCCGTAAAATGATATAACATAATATCCCTTTCATCCGATCAATTTCCGCTCCTACTACACTTCTTTTTCTTTTGATTGTTTGCAAAGTTTTCCCTATATCAAACAAACATAATGGTGTACACTAGAGTTATTTTTCTAATAAAGACTACAACAGCTCTTTATTTTTCTCCCTATTTTCCTTTGGCATATAATAAAACATCAATCAAAATTTCTTTTTTACATTTAGTTAGGATTGTGTAAAGAGAATACTTCAGTAAGAATTGTGTTTGTGTTTATTTCTCTACGCAACTAGAGCAATAGCTCCAGAATTTCCCCCAATAACTCATGAAGGAACCAGCAACGTGCACAGGCTTCCCTCCACTATTTCTTATTCGTGCCCTAGTTTTCAACAACAAATTCTCTTGTTCAACTTTCCATTTCAGTGAATCAGGAGAAAATTATATAGTGAACACCGACGCTCTCACCAAAAAAATACAAAATTAGGAAAAAAAAAATTCCGATTAGCCCAAGAACAAAACAAAAAATTAAAATAAAATAAAAAGGAAAGAAAACAAATTACGCCGGAGAACTAAACCATAATGAAGGACCAAGTTCCGACCAGAAATTAAGCAGAACTCGGGGATAGCAACAAACGACCATTAATCAGAATTTCGCAGATCATTTAGCAAACTCAGAAAACCTAAGAGAGCGTTTATTTGCATTCAAATTTCGTATTTCAGAGGACGAAAAGGAGAGCTCTGAAGAGCGAAAAAATGAAGAGAGACAGACCTGGAAGGGACGAGGGCTGAGAGTTGTCCGGGGTTGGATCTCTTCCAAAGCAAACTGGACAAACTTTTGGTAGGAGAAGGCGGCCAGATCCATCGTCGAAGTGCTCAAGCACGTGAGGGGAGGGAGGGCCGTGTTGCACGGCGGCGAAAAAACACGGTAAATTTTAGTGGGCCTGCCATTGAAACACGGGTTCTTTGAGGTCTGTTCGGAGCCGTTGTCTGTTTGGATAAACTCCGCTTTGGCAGTTTTACAAATGTTGTTTAAATTTACGTTTTTTCACCTGTCATAAAAAAAAATTAGAAGAGTTGTGAGAATTATAAAAAGAAAAAACCTAAAATTCAAAGAGCATATTTCCTTCCAAACTAATAAATTTATTTGTAGAATATAATTTTTAGCCATAATAAATCTTAAAATACAATTCCCTACATAAATTAGGTTCTTTAAAAACCATACATAAAGTTGCTCCAAAATCCAAACATATCATAATATACATAACCCATGATTTTATATTTATATAAGTGTATATCAAAATGGCGTCTGCATTGAACTTATAAAGATCTAACAGTTCCGACAAAAAAGAGTACGATAAAGGTAAATCTACTACAAAAAGATCGTGAGGCACACCTCACCGAACGAGCAAAGTCATGTGTGTCAAGTATTGAATGATCCAAGTGTGTGTCATCCAACAAAAGACGAGAGAGCATCTGAGTCATCTAATGAAGGAAAGTGACACGACGGGATAGTCTATTCCGCATAGAAACTAACCCAAGAAGAGAAAGTTCTACAAAGTATCTTTGACCATCCGACAGAGACCAAAAGATTCATCGCTAAGGATTGAAGAACCAACCAGGCTGGGTCAACCAACCAAGCTAAGCCGACCGAGCAAATCTTGTCGATTAAAGTTAACTAAACTTAGCTAGTTGAGCCAGAAGGTAGCCCAATGATAAGGCCAAACTTGTAAAATGTTAAGAATATCCTAATACGAACCCCCTTCACATGGGGTTAAGAATGTAATATCATCATTGTACTATCACCTCTATAAGTAAAGGAAATTCATGAAGAATGTAAACTATTTCAAGGCCATTGAACAGTACTCTTCTCTCTCTCTCTCTCTCTCTCTCCCCCCCCCCCATGTGCTCCTCATTTACACTATAGTCATTGGATATGATTAACAGAAAATCACGAATTCAATATTTTGAACATGCAGTGAGCGTGGATCGTGCCACCAACAATAAGAGGAGAAACGCAAGGACATTGGTCTTGCAATAAGGAGACTAATGACAAAATAGAATGCATCAAATAATATGTGATCCAACTGATCCAAAACTATAAATATCAAATATTAGAAATTATGAGAGGTGTGTTTGATCGGTAGCAAGGACTGCAACCCTAATAGGACGTTCTAGTTCCTAATCGCAAATGAGTTCCCCCGATCTTGGAAAGCGAGGATGAAACATAGTATATTGACAGCAATGTATCAACACCGATCGATAAGCATCGAGCTGGACATTCTGGAGCAGTGTAATGTGTTCTCCCAACCAATCTTTGATGTCTAGCCACTGGAACGATTCAAGATTCTAACGCTTGAGTCGTACAAGTGACATACGGACCTGGTCAACCACTCTTTCGAGTCAACTGTATTTCCCTTCAAAATCAATGATGCACTGAAGTGTTAAATCCTCTTCATCACTTTTGGGGACTTAGCTCTCAAGTGGTTCAACGGATTACTAATCAGAGTAATTTCATCATTCATAGACTTTTTTAGATTGTTCATTACATTGTTTGCTAGTACACAAAAGCTCTAGAAGATCTTGTAGCTTCTTTTGCAGCTTCATTAGAGACAGAACTAGACCTTAAATTCCTTAATCACTTGCTTCTAAAAGAAAATGCTAGAGGTTTGATAAATAGAGCCTACAGTCGCCCATACTACCCTGTGAAGGGCCTTTTTGCTACATACTAGGATTGCGGTGATCTAAGACTCTAATTAATTTTTTGGAGCTTGCTAACAACCTTATATCAGTATAAGAGTGCAACTCCTCCACCACCCCCTCCCCCATTTAGTATCAAACAAAGTGATCATAACCCGAGAAAGTGAAGCGCATATAGAGAAGGGTAAATTTTGAGACACAACCCTTTCCCTCCTACCTAAACTTACTTCAAAGAACCACAATGAAGCTCAAATAATAAGGCGACCAATAAAGCTCATTACCAAGAAAATTAAACCTGATACCGCACATGATTGTCAGCTTGATATGTGGACCGACCGCCACCCGCACACAATATCTTCGAGCAAACTCCTTTGAGAGTTTAGATGAACGAGATACTAGAGGTTATCCAAAATAAGGACTACTTAAATAAGGTGACCCCAATGAAATCCAGAGTATCTTCAAGACCCGAATAAATATTGCACACACCACCATGACTGCGATCACAACACTAAAGATTGTTAAAACTTCTAAGTCCTAATAAATGATTTGATCAAGGCATTGAAACAGGGAGAGCTTTGTAATGCATGGAGCAACCACCCAACTACAGAGGAAAGCTCATTCTGAATAAATAAAAAATGAGCCAATATGAGCCCATGCCATACTCATAATCAACATAGTTCCAACCATTTTCAAAAGGGATGGAGTAGAATCATCATGTTGACGAAGCTTGAATGGGTAAATTATGTGCAACCACCTTGGTACCACAATTTAGCTCACATTACTCGAGATGATTTTTTGACACAGTGATGGTCTAGAATGTGAATGGTAAATAACAGATGTTCGTCAACTTCTCCAACCTGATTGTCACTTGCCCGAAAGATAATTACCCTCCACCAAGAGTTAACACACACATAGACGAAACGGTCGACCATTAAATGATGAGCTTCCATGACATCTTCTCCACTACCACCAAATCAAAAATGCACTCGACCGGCATAAGAAATATATCATTCATCATCAGTGAGGGAATGTAATGTTATAATGTAATACCTTTCAGACTTAAAAATACCGGGGCACCTATCATTGTTTGTTAGATGTAATCATTGCTAAGCAAAAAGAAAAAAAATATGGAGGTATATGCGGATGATGTACTAGTAAGAAATAAGACACTCATGCAATACATCATAATGTAAGAGAAACATTTGAAACACCAAAAAATTCTCACATAATAATGTAAGAGAAACATTTGAAACACCAAAAAATTCTCACATAAAATTTAATCCACTAAAATGTACATTCCATGCAGTGATAGGCATGCTTGATCAGACGTGGACCAAACCATTAGTGATCAACATGTTAGTCGCTCTTGGAGCCCACAAGGTGAAGACATATGCGGAAAAGGAGGTGCCTCACACGTGGAGCGGAGCTCTCTTAAAGTTGTTATTGCCTTGAATACACATTAAAAAATAAATTTAAAATTTCTTGCTTTTCTTATTTTTTCTTATTAAATTTGCACAATGTTTGTGGAAGTTTTTTTAAAAATACATGATCCCAAGCTGACTAATACTTGAGAACTCGATCATGATTCATATAGGAAATATTCAAATCTAACTGAGCCGATACTCGAGGAATTCAATCAAAGTTCTTGCAAAGTGTCATAAGAATGATCAAAATAAAACTAATATTAGTCAACTCATCAATGACATTCTCAATCGAGCGGTCATATTAATCTGATAATGAAGCTTGATGTTTGATGGAACAACTACCCCAAGCACCATAAATTTCCTATATCTTTTAACTCAAAACACATGTCAAGCTCTGGTGGACATTCCCTGTTCAAACATGACAAGATCCATAGCTGACCACATATGAATCGCCCAAGCAGTGAGTGTAAACGGTTACCATCATGAAAACTGTGATAAAATCCACTTAATATATCTATCATAATGTGTCGCCTATCCAAAGCAACAACTTAGGGTCCGTTTGGCGCGGCAGTGCGGTGGTGGTGCAACACCGCACCACAATTTTTTTTGTTTCAGTAAACCGCATTTTAGCATCATTTCAAAAATCTGTTGTTGAAATCTGTGTTTTCCCACCACCCCTGACTAGGTGCGGTAGTAGTTTTCTAGTTACGGTCTGACTTTTAAGGAAAAAAAAATGTAATAGCCACCGTAGCCTTTTCGAGTACAAGATTATTATTGAGTAGCTTCACAACCGCTTTTAATAAGCTGCAGCTGCCCCAAACAAACCCTTAACCGAGCGACCAAGACATGAGTGTTTTAAGGCTTGAGCTGGGCAATAACACATCAAACGAGTCATAAAATTTACAATCACATTCACCTATTCAAAATCAAGAACATTCTTCAATTAACCGGCCTTTCGCCCGGCCAAACAACTTGGTTTTGCAATCATCTAATCAACATTCATTACACATCAAAACCAACTCTCATCGCCACGACCACCACTCAGTAAAGTTATACATATAACAAAAACAAAGAAGAAATTGCAAGGTTCAACTCACTAAAAGATTTGATTTCTCATCCATATTAAAAAATGTTTTACAAATAATTTGATAAATCCTTTTTGCAAATATTTATTAAAAAAAGCTAATATAGGAAAATTGCAGAAGAAATGGAGAGCTGCCATCAAAGAGTCGGAGTATCAATCCCTTTGAAGGTTTATCAGAGAGAATTTCCCTCCCAAGCAAAACTTTAAAGCAAGCTAACATCACTCTACCTCTTCTATTAGCAAATCAGCCCATCTTTTATCCTTAATTGCGGTTCGATTTGGAAGATTTACATACATACCACTTAATTGCTATCTATTTACATAAGTAAAAATTAAGCTTCAATTTTTATATACTTGCCACCTTGTCCTTGTGCATGAAATGGTTATTTCAGTTTTAAAGGTTAAAAAGGTGGTGTTCTTGATGTGATATGAAAGATTTGTGTTAGAAATGTAAAAAATAAAGTTTAGGTGTTAGATATGCAAAACACAGGAATTTGGTGGTTTGTATGTAAATTCCCTACTTTCCTATTACGTCTAGGCTGTATTTTTGGCTAGAACTCCATGTGGTTCTTCTAACACAAATTTTTACTCCTAATTGCAATAATGGAGCAAATTTCACCTATGGCGTACGGACATAGCTCTACGTCCGGACTCCAATAAGCTTATTATAGGAATACAAAATTTAAAAAATTATTTTTATTTTGACTCATAAATTATAATTTTTTTAAAAAAAGGACCTACTCCAATACACTTAGCTTTGTGGGATTGGGGTCCGGACT